TGATGGTGAGGGTGAGGGTGATGGTGAGGGTGAGGGTGAGGGTGATGGTGATGGTGAGGGTGATGGTGAGGGTGAGGGTGATGGTGATGGTGAGGGTGAGGGTGATGGTGAGGGTGAGGGTGAGGGTGATGGTGATGGTGAGGGTGATGGTGATGAGGGTGATGGTGAGGGTGATGGTGATGGTGATGGTGATGATGGTGATGGTGATGGTGAGTCAGACCTGACCCCTCCCACAGGATGAACACATGAAACTCTCTGCAGATCTCCAGCTGATAAAATGACCTCAGAGTGTCATTTGCCCCGTGAGGATGATCCACAGACCGCCTGGCTCGGCTCGGCTCGGCTCGGTTCGGTTTGTCCCCAGCGGCAGTCAGTCAGGCCGAGCAGCACCGAGTCAAACCGAGTGTTTGTCTCTAATCTTCATCTTCCTGCTCTCTACTGACTCTGATGATCTGTGAGACCTTCCTCATCCTCACAGCAGGCTGCTCCGGAGGCTCCGTGCCTTTTTTATTCTGCGCATGATGACGCGCAGCACAGTGCGCTCCGGCTCCGCACGGCTAGCAGCGGCAGCGGCAGCGGCAGGAAGTATGTTGTCGGAGCGGCGGTAGGTAGCGGGGGGGGGGGAGAGCCAAGAACCAAAAGTCGATGTTTGAACCCGGGGCGGAGAACACAAACCATGCCGAACCCGTGAAAGTGGCGGATTTCTGCATCTCCACGCCGTGCATCGTCCACTGAGGCCGATCGAGGGGTAAGTGAGGAGCGGAAAAACGGCTCAAAAACGCGGTTTTCCATCAATGGAGGCCGCGGTGTGTTTGTCGAGATCTTTGTGTAGCTCCGGGCTAGCCTGGGGTTAGCTGGGATGCTAACCTCTCTGCGAGCTCGTGCAGCATCAATACTTTCCTCTCCCCGTGCACCTCACGTGCTGTAAAATAAACGGTAGCCGTCTCACTAACTCGTGCACGTTCGTGTTTGTGTTGTTTGTTGCTTTGTTTACCATTTCTAACTTCCGTTTTGCCCCTTTCTCTCATCGCGGGGGGTTGCTAACTAGCTACATGCTAACGTTAGCTCCGCCGGCTGTCTTTCACCAAATATTCATTAAGTGCTCTTTTTAATAAAACCTGAAACTATGAATGTTGCTGATGGTTAAATCCTGGTTTTAACACGTGAAGGTTTCCGCAGGCTGCGGGTGTATCCAGCGGGCCAGCGGGTTGTGTTTGTGGGGCTAAGAGGGAGATGCTAGCCCGTTAGCATGGGGGAAAATGGCTCGCTGCTCGAAAGCCATTTTCCGATGGAGATGGGGTCTCAGTGAAAGTGGGCTGATGGCTGAAGGTGTTGTCCCCGCTCTGCTGGGAGCATCATGACGGAAACACCGCGCTAACACCGGCAGCTTTTACACAGTTAACCCGCCTCCGGTGCTCTCCTCCCCGGCCGGGCTCGGCCGACCCTCCCCCGGTTTATTGTGGGGAGTCGGCCGAAGGAAATGTCGGCCGTGAGTCGGTGGAGATGCCCCGCTTTGTCCCGATTAATTCATGCTGGGGCTGAACCCGACCGAGAGGAGACGGGCCAAGGTCAGGGAGCCCTGCTGCGGCTCAGACCGTCTGTGTGAGTCCAGTCCGCCTCAGACCTCAGACCTCAGACTCACTGGGACTTTTACAGAGTTTAATGTGTGCGATCAAAACAACGCGTGTGTGAACAGACCCGGGTTATGTGTGTGTGAATGCACCTGAGACACCGTGAACACCTCCTGCAGGGAGACGAGGGGAGTCCGGTGTGAGGAGGTGTGAGGAGGTTTGTGTCGGCTGCAGCGCAGACTCAGTTTGTTTACATGATGTGAAGCTTCAGAGGGAAAAGTTGGAAGGAAATAGAAAGACTGTGATTGGCTGCTGCTCAGAGCTCAGATTCAAATCTGTGTGTGAATGATGGGACGCTTCATCTGTGTGATGTGTGTTCATCATGAGGAGAGCGATCAGGAACGAGTCAGAGGATCAATAAATCACTGATGATCAAGTTTAGTTTTATTTATAAAGCTCAACATCACAGATCAGTTTGTCTCTGAGCCTCACAGCAGACGTCCCTCCGTCCTCTGTCCTCACAGCTGATCAGGACAAACTCCCCAAAAAACATTTAACAGGGAAAAATGTAAGAAACCTCAGGAAACACAAACATAAACAAAAAGGAGAAACAAACAAACAAGTCAGCAGTGTGACAGAGGGAGGACCTCGGTATAGATGGATCTACTTTCCAGATATTTTAGCGACTTGTTGTCAATGTTGTTTCCGACCACAGTGACAGAGGGAGTTCAGTCTTTCCCTCTCACATGTATTAATATGATATTTACCCAAAATAATGACGAGATTAACAACATGTGAAATGTTTGCATCCAGGTTGTCCATAAAATAAATGACGTCAGCATAACTTTTATTTTCTATTTGTGATGATAACGAGGGCCAGGTGTGAAGATCAGACCAAACAAATGTACACGTGCACATTGGAAGAATCCAGAAGGAGGAACAATCTGAATTTGAATTTTTTTGTGAAGAAAGTTATTTTGACTTCAGGAGCAACAGGACACGATGAGAAAATAAAATAGAGTTTTTCCTCAGAGGGACGTCAGTATCATCCCGAACAGAGCGTGAGTTAAAGTCCCCCAGAGTGTTTTCTTTTGGAATTAAACTAATCATTTAGTTAAAACATTTTTTATGCAGCGAGTTAATGAGTGTGTTCACACGGACAGTTTAATTCCCTTCATTCAGAATGAAAGTTCATTCTAGTGCTGCACGATGTGATAAAAATGTGCGATTGTGATTTGAGTGGACAATATCGCGATTGTGATTACAGTATAATAAATAAATGGTATCATGAGTCTTGTTGCTTGATTCAGTGTTTCAGACAGTGTGTTAATGACCATCAACAGACTGAGCACAGTCAAACACGCTGCTCACACAGCAGTGCAGCACGACACTGTACACACAGCGGAGCGAGCCTGTGTTGCGTTCAGGCGTTGTCACGTAAATGACAAATTCCAGCACCATAGCACAACACAGCAGCATGTCAAGTGGGCCGAACCCACCCAGAATTTTTCATTTGTTATTATATAGTTTGTCATGGAGTCCGTGATTTCCCCGTGACACTTACAGATGTTTGCGTAACTGTGCTTGGATGTTGTTGTATGAGGCTCTGGTGTCTTTCAGTTGTCTCTTTGTCTCATTCTTCCTACTTTCCTCTGTGCTGTCTCAAGTGTTGATATAGATTGGTCGTGTTGCCGCGGAACATGGCGATTTTAACGTTTAAACTTTTACACAGCACGTCTTTCTGTTCAACGTCGCTGTACCTGAATCCAAAGTATCGCCATGTGATAGACGTTGCATTTTTTTCGCCACTAACTCAGCCTGTTCATGGTCATGCTCATGCTCTTCTTCAGCGTCTGTGTTGGTCACTGCTGCACGCTGGCTGGTCACCTGACCATACGTGCTGCACACACCAGGACAGCTTGTGGGCGTGATGTCGACAAACTCCACACACTACAGGAGAGGCAGTCACGTTCACAGGCACACACGTTAACATTTATGTACATTAAATCGCAAATCGCAGCCTTTTATGCGGTTATGT